CGCTGGGTGACTCCTCGAGTCGTGCTGTTCTCATACCAATAGATCCCCTCTGCTGATACGGCTCTGGCAGGCTGAGAGGGTTCATCCTGCTGTCCAATAACTGTTAGAATCAGAATCATTAAGGTTGCAAAAGACCTCTAAGGTCATCAAGTCTAAGCATCACCCAGCACTACCATGGCCACTAAACCGTGTCCTCAGGTGCTACAGCCACACATTTTTTGGACCTTTCTAGGGCTGGGGACTCCAGCACCTCCCTGGGCAGCCTGGGCCAATCCCTCACCGCTGTCAGGAGAGAAATTCTTCCTCAGATCCAACCCAAACCTCCTCTGGTGCAAGTTAAGCCCAAAGTCGTTGCTTAGAGCAGACAGACTTCTGCATGAATTTATTGTTGTAAAGAGCCTAGATTTAAAAGTAACAACAAAGAAGTATTTTGGGTAAAATAAAGGTTGTCCTCACCCAACTCTTTGCTGCAGTCTGGCGCCACGTAGACAAGGGGACCCCCGAAGGGGCGATCGACGCGATGCTGATCCACGGGCAGGGTAAGGAGCACGGGCAGGTGCTGCCCTGGGGGTGCCAGCTGCCCTTGTCCCTGTCATGTCAGACCCCGAGGTGAGCTGGCCCTGTTGGTGTGTGGTGGGTCCAAGCTCTCTGTTCCCCTCCTGCTCTTCGTTCCCCGGGCAGATGCCATCACAGTGTCCAATGCCGGGCGGATCCTGCGCTCCTGGGAGACCAACATCGGGGGGCTGAACTGGGAGATGTCCCTGGACACTGGCAGGTGGGCTCTTGTGTCTGTGCTCTGTCCTTCTCTGTGTAATCCTGGCCTAGGAAGGGAGAAAGGAGTTGGTGGCCTTGCTTGGACTGGGATTATGGGGAAAAATTACTTAGCTGCAAGATTTCTGAAGTAATATTTGGCTGAATTCCTTAGGAAAACCTGAATCCTATAGTTAAACCTAATGCTGTTTCTATTTCTTAGCAAGCCAGTAGGAGAAAGAGAGAGACATTATTTTAATAGATGAATTTTCTCATGAGAAATACATGTTCAACCTGGAATTGAACACCTTTCATCACCTTTGGGGTGTTTAGATTCCACTCTAATGCTTTCTGGTGATGTTGGCAAGGGTAGATGCAGGGGGCTGTAGATTGTACTTCCAAAGGGATGTTAGATGTTTGAAGAAAGTCTTCAAACAGAGGGTTGGTTGGGGTTTTTTTTTCTAGGAGAAACCAGTTTTCTAACTTCTTGTCTCTCCCTTCTGCTTAGTTTCCAGGTGGCCAGTTTGGTGGCATTCCAGGATGTGGTGAAATACGTGGCAGTGCTGAAGAAAGCAGCCATCTCCCTGCACTACCTCTCCAATGGGCACCAGAAATGGGTGGAACACTTACCAGAAAGGTAAGAAAGCACTTTTAAGTAGAAATGTAAACTTACCAGAAAGGTAAAAAAAATACTTTAAGTAGAAATTTCAACTTCTGAGCCTGTTCCCTCAGAAAGGATGCTGGGAATCAGTGCTTCTGAAAACATCTGAGAACAATAATGAGGGAAAGGGATGTCTCATGGTTGCTGCCTCCCTTGCAGTGAGAGTACTCAGTACCAGATGTTGTATTCCCATGGGACTGGAGTGATCCACGTGCTTGGAATCGTCCCCCAGAGCCACCTGCAGGTGTTAACCTTTGGTGTAGAAGATGGAGAGATTACCAAACAGGTAGCAGTGCTCAACTGTGGATCCCAAATCCTGCATTTGATGTTAACAAGTGTCCTTCCAGCTGGAGATGGGCTGGGGTGTGGTGTGCAGAGTAATGAATTGATGTCAGAGTACAGATAAACATTCCTCTCTCTGTGGCACTGCCTGGGGGCAAATAAATTGATTTTGCTGAATGCCCTGAAAGCAAAACTGGACTGGCAGCTGCTAGTCAAAAACATCCTGGAAATCCCTGGCTGGATCCATCAGCCAATTTCTCCCAGGATCACGGGTGAAAATGATTCTGACTCAAGTTCTTGCTTGCATCCAGGTTGGTTCTTTGCCTCTCTCTGCAGGTGAGGGTGGAAGCCCCGTGGCTGAGGAGCCTGAGTGATGCATGTGCTGTGGTGGGGGAGGCTGTGCTGGCCTGCCTGGACACAGCCACACACTCACTCTATGTTTGCTCCTTGGAGACAGAGCAGGAGATGAAGCAGATCCCACTGCAGGTGGGTGTTTATCTGATGTGGGGGACTCCTTCATGAAGCTTATGGAGCTGCTGGGAAGGAAGGGCTTTGTTTCAGTGAAGGAAATGTTTTCCTGATCACATACACTTGTCTCCCTTCACAGTCACTTGACCTAGAGTTTGATGATGGCTTCCAGCCCAGGATTTTGGCCACTCAGCCCAACGTGCTCGGTGCCTCCCGGGCTCAGTTCTTCCTGCAGCTCTCCCCCAGCCACTTCTCCCTGCTGCAGTACAAGCAGGGGCTGCTGGGCCACCTTCGGGACTTCCAGCAGGTAACCAGGGTGCACACACTCAAGCCAGAGGGCCAACTACAGCCTAGTACTCCTTCAAACAAGGCAATTTGAGTGTGTAAATTAAATGTATTTTGTAATCAACACACTAGGTGCTCTGAACACGCTGCTGAGCTTCTCATTTCAATTGTGCTCTTGGCTGCAACACTTGAAAACCCTTTGATTTCATTTATCCAGCCATCAGCCTAGGTGTGTGTTGTTGCCAACAACTGGCAGCATTGGGGTATTTTCCTGGTTTTGAGGTGGAGAGAGGCTCATGTCTGTGTGGCCAGTGGTGCAGCTGTACCTTTGTTTGGCCAGCTGAGAGGTTTTGAAAAGCAAAGAAGCCTTTAGAAGCTCACTGGATGTAATGGTTCTAAAGCCTGTGGCAGGTCAACTGTTTCTGTCTTAATCAGCAGCATTTTCAGTCTTTTAAGAGATTTCTTTTTTTTCTTTATATGGTGAAACAGTGAAATTTAAAATCTGGCCATGGAAGATCACCTGGTTTTAATTCCTGTATGGCTTACTTTGCTGCAGGGGTAGTTTTGGGTGAGGTTTGGGGATTTTCTTGTTTGTTTTTATGATTTCCTGCTATTGTTTCTCTTTTCAGGCAGCTCTGGTGAGTTTTGCAACAACTGGGGAGAAAACTGTGGCTGCTGTGCTGACCTGCAGGAGTGAGCTGGTGAGCAGGGTTTGCCTGTGTGATGTTGTGTTGTCCTTCAGAGAGCCCAGGATGGGCAGTAGCTGGGGGAAGGGGAAGATTTAATTGGCTTCTCAGGCATGTGAAGATGTTGGTAGTGCCAGCAGGTCCTGACTGCCCCAAGCTGAGGCTCTCTCTGTGCTGGGCAATGTGTGGGCAAGGCCTGGGGCCATCTTTACTCACCTCTAGAGGATTTCAGTTTGTAGGGATACCCAACTTCACAAAGTTTCATTTTTATCCTTTTTTGGAGTCGAGCTGAGACTTGTCAGGCACTCAGATACCTAGATTTTATTTTGGGACTCTCACTGGAGTTTCCAACCAGGTTATTTCTTCTCATTCCAGAAACCTGGAAGTTCTGATGGGCTCCACGTGGGAACCACACTGGGGGATTCCCAGAAGCAGGTATGACATGCTCTTGTTCCCAACAACAGGAGTTCTTGAAAGCCCAATTTTACTCCTTTGTGTGCAAGAACAGAATGGAAAATGTGCTACAGCATCTTTTTGGAGACTGATGCTCTGTAGCAGCTCCATTTATATAGTCTAAAAATGTTTTGAAGCCACAGTTCCTGTTGGATATGAAATCCCTGTGCTGCCTTTGGTGTGGCTGGGTGTCTAACTTGACTATTTTCTGCCTGTTGTTCCAGGAATCCTTAACCTGTTCCAATCAAACCTACAATATCAATCTCTACCTGGTTGAAACGGGGCAGAGGTTGCTGGATACCACCATTACCTTTACCCTGGAGCAGAGTGGTACCAAGCCACAGCAGGTGAGCAGGGAGAGACCATTTCAGTGCTGTGGTGTGTCAGACTTGCAGTCCTCTCCCTGCCTGGTTTGGCAGGGCTGGTAGAGCTCTTCAGGAAGGTGGATCCCACTGTTTGTTTCACTCATGAGCTCTGTTTTCTCCAAGGAGATGATATGATTGTTAACCACACTGTTTTGCTTGCTCTTTTTCCAGCTGTACATCCAAGTTTTCCTGAAGAAGGATGACTCTGTGGGCTATCGAGCCTTGGTGCAGACAGAAGACCACATGCTGATGTTCCTCCAGCAGCCAGGTACCTGCCACAAGCACCTCACTCAGTTTTTAACAGCACACACCTTACTGCAGAACAAGAAGAAAATTCCAAGTCCCAAAAGATTATATTTTATTCTGGCTTTCTTGGACAAAATGAATGTAACTGTTCTAACTCCCCAAAAAGGGAGCAGAGACTCTCCTACCCTCACAGGGCATTTCATCTGAGGAAAGAGTTTTGCAGTGTCCATTTTGTAAAGAGAGACTTTGAATTTCATGGGTTTTCTGCAGACTGCAAAACTTTTTGTGGGATGAGAGTCTTGCTGTAGATCTTCCTCAAAAAAGGTCCTCATGACCACAGTGTTAATTTGCAGGAAGGGTAAAGTCCATCTCAGTGACATGGGTTTTTTAGGGTGTAAAAGGCATCGAGTTGTCCACCCTCTGATCTCTTATTTTCAGTGGACTTAATGGCTGTAACTCTTTTAAAACATCAGGCTGCTTTTGCTGTTCCTGTGGGGATTTTTTCAACTCCAGTTGCATGAAGTATTTGTCTTTTATGAAATAACTGATAATAATAGTTGATAGATAGACACTATATTGCATTTCATTAAGAACAGAGATTTGCATGGGAAGGGCCTACTGGAAGATGCTTCTAGACTGAGGGATGGTTTTCCCTCCAAGAATCTATTCCCAGAGAAGAAGTTCATTTTCCAATAGTCTGCTTGTTTTTCTTTCCAGGAAAAGTTGTCTGGAGTAGAGAGGAGTCACTGGCAGAAGTGGTAAGCTTGGAGATGGTGGATCTGCCTCTGACTGGTGCCCAGGCTGAGCTGGAGGGAGAATTTGGAAAGAAAGCAGGTAAGCCATGAACTGATAGAGTTGCCTGTAGACAGATGAGGTTTTTTTTTATTTTCTTCCTGAAAAAAAATGTTCTTTTCTTTTTCCTCTGAGCTGAGAGTTACAACTCAAATTTCTACTGCTGGTGATTAAAATTAGTAGAAATAAGCCCATTTCTATCTAAACATCTGAAGTCCAATGCCAAATGCAGATGACACAAGTTTAGCATATTCTTAAAAACCAGTAAAACAGAGACTTGGAGGGATTTTTACCATCTCTCCTCAGCATTTTCTGGAAGACTCGTTTGCAATAGCTTTTGTTTCTGCTTTGTTTTGTTTTTCTTGCTCTCCTGGACACAGCCATTCAAGGTAACTCAGACTGCATGGGGTGTTTCCTGCTACCTCTGGCTAATGCTTCCCAGGAGAACTTCAATCTCCTCTCTGCTTGCTTTCCTCAGTGGGGAAATAGAATTGAAGGCTGGGGTCTCAATTATTCTGAGAAGCTAAATACTTAATCCTGCCCAAGCAGGGTTTGTATTTTTTTAGTTCAAGGGCTTCTCTGACTCTGAGTGATGAGATATTAACCTTCTAGTGGGTCAGTGTGAGGTAGGCACTGACTGTGAGTGGAGCAGTGGGAAAGCAGG